TGCAAAATCGATCTTAACCCATTTCTTCTTATTCTCTGAATGCTCTCTCATCTCCACTCCATTTGCAAAATCGATCTTAACCCATTTCTTCTTATTCTCTGAATGCTCTCTCATCTCCACTCCATCTGCAAAATCGATCTTAACCCATTTCTTCTTCTTCCGTGAATGCTCTCTCATCTCCACTCCATCTACAAAACCGATCTTAAGTCACCCATTTCTTCTTCTTCTCTTTTCTCGGGGAAACTTGAGCTACTGGGTTTCATTGAAACCTCAAACCTGGAAGATCTTACCAAATCAAAATAACCCTTCAATAAAGAATACCAATCAAACTCTAATCGAATTTCAACAAAAATACAATCAAACTTTAATCAAATTCCAACAAAAATGCAATTAAATTATAAATCAATCTCCAAATATATTAACAACTGGAAATGGAAATCAAAAGAAGAACGAAAAAACAAGAACCAAGCTTTCCCAGCAAAGCTGGGTTTGGTTGAAACCCAGCCTTCGCTGGTTGCGAACCCAGCCTTCGCTGGTTGCGAACCCAGCCTTGCTGGGTTTGTTGAAACCCAGATCTGCTGGGTTCCGATGAACCCAGCCTTGGCTGGTCAACGAACCCAGCAAGGCTGGGTTTCCACCGAACCCGAAAGAAAGAAAGAGAAAAAAAGAAGGGGAAGAAGAGGGATTGGGAGGGTGAGGTTAATAAGGTAATTTTATATGTTTTAAATTAAAATATGTATATTAATCTATGTAGCATTTTTAGTTATTTATATAACATAATTATAATATATATTAGTGCCACATTATCAAAAAAATTAAAAAACAATGTCACATGAAATTATTTAACTGCCACATCATACTTAACTGACGGAAGGACTAAAACTGTGCAATTTTTAGAGTCAAGAGATCAAAAAAACGTAAAAAATTGTTAAAGGACCAAAAATGTGCATTTTTAGTTATTTATATAACATAATTATAATATATATTAGTGTCACATCATCAAAAAAATTAAAAAACAATGCCACATGAAATTATTTAATTGCCACATCATACTTAACTGACGAAAGGACCAAAACTGTGCAATTTTTAGAGTCAAGGGATCAAAAAAACGTAAAAAATTGTTAAGGGACAAAAATGTGTATTTTATAAAGTTGAAGGACTAAATTTAACATTTAACCAACTAAAAACAAATAGTACATACGTACAGTATAATTTAGATCCAAAAATTATTGAAATATTTTTAATAAATTTTGTTTAATATTTATTTATTATTAGAGTAAGAATTAATTTATTATTAGAGTAAAATTTTATTTATATACAAATTTTATGCATTTTATTTATATAAAATTTTAATTATTTATTATTTTACTTTTTAATGATTAAGATTAATCATATTTTTTAAATAAAAAATAAATATTTTTAATAAATAGATATAAATTTTAATCATTAAAAAATAAAAAATATATATTTAAAATTTTATATACATATAATATATAAAATTTATACATAAATAACCTCCTACTCTTATTATTAATATTTTAATAATTTCAATATGCAAATTCTAAAAAACTACACTTGGTATTAAACAGCATCAATTTCTATTTTTTACTTTTGGACTTCTGCACTTCACACCATGTGGTTTAAAACGTTGCACATGATGTACCACTTCAAGAATTGATGTCTGTCAAAATGCGAAGAGGTTATTATTGTCAATTTAGCGTCTCTATATGGAAATTAATGTGAACAATTTCCTTAAATGTTTAACTTGTAGTTCTATTTGTTCTACATGTTTGACTAAGTGGTTTGTACCTGTCCTTTAAATAAAAATATTTTTAAATTTAATGTTTGAATTGATGGGATGACCTTTTTCCCTCTTTTATAGAATGTTAAGATTATTTATAAACTTATAAAAAAAAAAAAAACTTGTAGTTGTATTTGTAAGACATTAGAAAGTCTTAGGAACACAAGCCCAAAACTACAAGGGGGCATAACAAAATTATCCATAATTTAAACCTCATGCTTATTTGAAAAGGTAAGCAATAAGCACACCAAACACTCGCTCTAAACTGAGGGAAACCAAACCAAACACTATGAATTTAAATCTACGTACAGCTCAGTTCTTAGCGAGGAAAAACGCAGCGCCTTAGAGGGAGGAACCGTTAGGTGAGTTCGTTCACCAGCGGCTGGACGGACGCCCCCCGCCTCCGCCCCCAAACGATCTGTGCTAAAAAATTCTGCGATACCCAGAAAAGGGAAGGAGTGGGGTAAGCTAAGAAATCAATCAATCATGCCGTCTGCTGCGAAGAGGAGAAAAGCAGCCAAGAAAAAGAGGGAAAAGGAAGCCAACAACAACAACGCATCATCAACCACCACCAATAACCGCTCACATGGTACTTTGCTTTGGCCCATATACCCTTTTTCGCTGTCACCGATCATGTTCTCGCCTTTTCGATCTATATATTAAGTATTGGGTTCTTTTTGCGTGATTTGGATTGATGGTTGTTTGTTGGTTTTTGGTCCGTTGATTCACATTGATTAGAATTCTTAGATTGAATTTATTTGCTTACCTACCAGTCGTGTTACCGAGTTCTTCATCACTGTATTCAATCTCATTTACCCCTTTTTTTAATGTCAATTTGGTTTGATGGGTTCTCTTAAAGGTCCCTTTTTTAATTGATTTTGATTGTAGTTCTTGATAAAGTTTGGATTTTTCATCCGCTAAATTGCCTCGATAAAGTTTGTTACTTAATCCCTTTTCTCTCCTCTAATTTAGTTTATACTTGTCACTTAATCTTTGTCACAGTTTTATTAACGTTGATTTGATTGTTTTTACTAAAATTGTTTGTTTAGCGGTTTGCATATTGATTATAATTCTGGTAATTAAACCAAATGGTCCTAGTGCATGATGATCCAAAAAGCCAAAGTGAGAGGGACAGTGATGGTGGTGAGGTTGGGTCCCTTGCATCACCAGACCAGCAGAATCATGATCACCCATTTGGTGAAGAGGATCAAGAAGATGATAAGGGAAATGCATCACCTGTTCCATCATTTGTAACTGAGAACAGGCCGATGGAAGAAGTCCCAGAAAATGCAGAAAACACTGAGATATTAGGAAAAGAGGATGATGTTGTGGTCGAAATCAAGAGGCGATTGAAACCAGATGAGGATCTGGACCATAGAGATGTTAGGATTGAGCATGTTGAGCATGATAGGAGTTCCACCAGCAGCAACAGCAGTTCAGATGATGAGTCTCGAGACTCTGAAAAGAAACTGAAGGATGAAACCTGTGATTCAATTGCTGAACCAACTGTAAACAGTGATGAGGGTAAGCCAGCCAGTTCTCTACATGAAGAAGTGGTGCAAATTACTGACAATGTGTCAAGTGGGTTAGATGAAGCTGATAGTGTTTCAGCTGCTGAAACTGCTTTTGTTGGTGATGTGGTTAAGCCTGTTTTATCCATGCCAGAGGAGGTAAATCCTTCCATAGAAAATGCTTCCTTAAACAATTCAGTGGTTTCTGATGCTGTTGAATTGGGGATGAAAGAAAATGAAGAGAAATTATTGCCCATAAATGATGGTGTTAATGGGGCTCAATCAGATGGAAATAAAGAGAAGATGTTGCCACGATCAAGTGGTCTGACTGCTCAAACTAGTAATGTCACAGAAAATACCCAGGATTCCAAAATTCCTGGGTATACTGAGAAGCAGGTAGCTGCTAATATTTCTTTGATTTTTGGTTTTAATTGTCACTCATTTGATATGTTGGAAACTGAATGAATCTTTGTTTTATGAATTCTGAGATGCAGCCTCTTGTTGCTCCAACTCCACCAGTGGTGCAAAGAACCTCATGGTTGGGTTGCTGTGGATTATTTGAAGTTCTTTCAGGATCTGACAGATAATTAGAGGTTGAGATTACCCACTGTGTTGAAAAAGATATAGTATACCTTAGATTAGTTTATTGCATGTTTAGATATTCTTATATTCTCTATATACCTGGATATTCTGATGATGGTGCCAGAATTGGTTGTGTGCATGTGTCTGTGTAAGAGAATAAGTAAGGGTTTTGAATTTGTTACCTAAGATCTGGTAGTTATTGCTTGCTTGTTTGGGGTGTGGGTGCAAGGGAGTGAAGAAGTTCTATTTTTGAATTGAACTAAGAAATGGGTCAAGCTGCTTCCAAGCTTTGCTGCCTAAGATGATCTTCAGTCTTTTCCTAATTGATCTAATCATACTTTATACATGATAAGATTTGTGTAGGCCCCATTATAGGTGGATTTTTTTAGCTATCACAAACCTTACTAACCACTCTCTCTTCCATCTTTCTCTTAAATATTTCTCTCAAAAGGAGATAACCAACAACATTATTACTTGTTTCCTGTTCTTGCAAAGAAAAGGCAGAAAACCATGCCAGAGGGACATGGATGAAGAATAGGGGCTTACTAAATGTTGGCTGGAATTAATAAAATAGCAATAACTGGTAAAGAAAACTCTTTGTTTCAACCTTTGATGTTTGGATGACATTGGAATGCAGCCTACAAATTAAGTATGCCTTTTTTCCCTTTTTTTCCCTATCCTTCCATTGCTTCCTAGGATGTTTCAAGCAATACAACTCATGATAATTTGCCTGTGCCTATAAGTTTTTGTTTTGGTTACAATTTAATATGATTGATTATATTGGATATTTCTTCACATATTACATATTCTTTTGTTGCTCTTCAAGTTATTCATGGCACTAAGTAGCCTGAAGTATTAATTTCTTCACTTTGGTCTTTAATTGCTTCACATATATTCTAGTAACCTTTTGTTTCCATCTTTTCCTTTCAGTGTATGAGGCAGAACCAGACGGCAGAGCTTGTTAGAATCAGCACGCATATGGTTTCTAGAGGTCATATTCGAAACTCCATATTTCTCTTATAGAATGGACCATGAACCTAGATAGGCAAAAAGTATGAGCTTTGTGGTATTTTGTCATTTATTTCAATAGGAGCTCGTTTTTCCTAGCTTCTGGTACATTCTCTTTGTTGGTACTTCTGCATTTTAATGTTTTTGGTCAGAGGTCAAGTTCTTGTTGTATGTGCTTTGTTTTGGGTTGACTGGATTAGTTTCCTTAATTAAAGCTTTGTTCAATGAATAACCTGGTTGTTAACTAGCTGGTATATTATTTTGATTGAGGAATTTCTCTGTTCTTTTGGAGATAGTTTTATTATTCTTGGTTTTTTAACTCCCTTGTTTGGATGAAATGAATTTCCTACCTGTTCAAAGGTGTTTTATTATTTCTTTTGGTATGACGATAGATTATACAATAAGGGACAATTCTCTTTTTCATATCTCTTGTCACCTATTACATGATTAGAACTTGAGAGCTTCAACATGGAGGTCAAAGTTTTTAATTACTAAGATGTCCACTAGGGGACACTGTTCAAGGCTATGAATGTGCTGAAGTTGAAGTATTGAACAGCATTAATAGAATCAATTCCTCTTTCCATCAGTCATTTTATTACATGTTCATACAAATTCAATCAAATCGAACCAAATACACGTCGATTAGCCAGTTTCGTGGCTTGGTTTGTACACTCAGAACAAGAAAAAGAAAAGCAAACAAAAAATAAATAATGAAGACACCCCATTGTCCACCATTAATCTCTTACATTCAAGGTCTCCTCGTTATGGATGCAGCTCCATGAATGGCCGCTATGTAGAAAAGCTGCGTAACCGAGAGGATAAACAAGAATGCCTCCATTGTTCTCTGCAAAAGTAATATACCGTACCATTTATATTTGATCATATACTGCATAAAATAAGCATACTTGAATTTAGAGCTACATCAAAGCTTCGGATCTGTGTTCTTACCAGACGGGCATTCCTGGGACCGTGCTCTATTTCTTTGCAAGTAAACCTAGGAGAAACAACAAAAAGCAGGACTACTATTAGTATATAGAGAAAATTTGTCATATTTTTCATTATTGTCCTGAAACAATGCAAGATGCTCACCCCATTGCAAGCAGAGTAAGGGTCCAAGCAATGGCAGCAACAGAGGCAGTCGAGGGCAAGCTCTCAGCAGTCCAAGTGCAAACATGGTTGATACCAGCAATCACTGATGCTGCCCCAACAACTCCGGCCAGCAAAGCGAACGTCACGAAGAATCCGGTGGCGGCATTCCCCATGGGAAAGTATATGGGAGAGAAATGTGCAGGGAGTTTTAATTCTGGACCTGCAGGCATCACAGAACATGCAACCAGTTTAGTTGGTAAATTCTTGTATCGATAAAAATCACACCTTACCTTAGACATAGGAAGTATAAAGGAAGAGATGAGAGAAGGAATGAGTTAATTACCAATTATAAAACCATAGTCGATTGCTCTATTCATAGCCCATCCACCAATGCCCAAAATAATGGCATACATACAGAAATTGAGTAACAAAAGCAGGGAGGCGACATTTTTCATATCTCCATTAACCATTTTGGTCCTGTTTGATGAAAAAAGAAAACAAGAGAAAATGGCTGTGGAAAGAGGAGAGGATTGGGAGTTTTTAGGGCCCTAAAAGGTGCATATGAAGAAAGAGTGAGCAGAGGTGCGTGTTTCTCGTGCAATGGGGCTCGTTATATACATGACATTGCATGGGAAATTTTGGTTCTTTTCTTGCTAAGGCTGGTGGTTCCAATTTCTAAAGGGATCTGCGGGGTTGTAAAGTGCATGCTCTACGCTCAAGGTAAGCCCGTTAGACTCCAAGATTCTTACTTGGTTCACATCTTCAATTATTCTTTTGTTAAAATGGTACATTCTTCTGCTAGGCCTTTTCTGGCAGAAGCTGTTCAAGGGAAGAAAAGTGATATTCTTTGCCAGCTGAAGAGGCAGATTTATCAAGTTTTTAGGAGCCACTTCATTTACATCTCAAATTTGTCTCATCCATTAAGATTTAGATATCACTTTGATTTAGTTGTTAAAGCACATTAGAATGATAGTTGGCAACAATTTTTAGGATCAAATTTTAAGATAAATTTATGATCATTATAAATTATGGTGGGACGTCCAAAAAATGTATATTATGGTCCAAGCCTATAGAGACTCACATAATAATTATTTGAAATAATTTTGTTCTAAAATTTTGTTCCAAACAATCATTACTAAAAGAAAAGAAATTTTCCTACCTTTAAGGGGTGTTTCCATACCACATCACTTTTCTCTTAAATTTTTTTAAACTTTCTTTTTTATAAAATTATTTATATATTTTTATATATTAATACTATAATAAAAAAAAAAAAGTAAAACTGACATGTTAGTCTTTATTTTCCTTGATACAATTCACAATCCATAAACTTTTTTCTTACAATTTTTGAAAGGAAAAAAGTTTTCTCTAACTTTTTTTATGTATGATCCATTTGGCCATTTTTTTACTAATTTTCCATATACTAATTTTTTACTAAACATGGAAAAGTTAACAATATAACAAAATTTACTTTGAAAACTTATAATTTTACATATAATATTTATTACTTTTCCATACAATACTTTTCTAATTACTTTTTCAATTTTTTTTTCTAGTAAAATTGGTTCTCTAACTAAATATACCCTAAAAGTATTAGTAAGCAAGAAAGACAATTTCCAATAGTAATATTTTCTTAAAAGATAACTGCTTTTAGGTTTGGACTGGTAAACGAAATGGAGAGTTCTGTTATGCACTTTTCCAACTACTAATTAATGGTAAGATTTAGAATTAATAATGCTCTCATAGCCCCAAAATTATATTTAATTTTTTAAGAAATAAATATTTTTTTCCTACTCCAAGCTTATTGTTATTTTTTTTTTAATCAACAAATAATTTTATTAAAATAGGTACAAGTGGCACCCCAAACTCCAACACATACAATTTATTCCATCTTCTTATCTACATATCCATCCTTGCTGCATCTTCACATCTTCTATGTTGGTTCTTGTCATATGACTTAATACACCCCCTTATATTTAGACTCGGTATCAACCTACCATATGAAAATTGTACATGTGGATTTCAATACAAGGTTTGCATCAAATTTAAAACCAATTGACAATGAATGGAATGACCCTCATTATACTTAACTTACATACTTTTTTATTATACACTTGAGGTAAGATTTTCTCACTTAACATTCTGCACATAGGAGGAAGGATCATGGCACCAAATTCCAAAATCAAAGACCAATTCCTGAAGCTTTGCCTTGCACCAACTATAGGATCTCATCTGAACCATCTCTAATAACCTGTATAAGGATCCCAAACCCCCTCCCTGCCTACAGAATTTTTTATTATAAATTTTATTATAAAAAAAACTTTTTATTTTTATCTTTTTATCTTTTTAGTTAAAAATTAATATAAATAAATGTCAATGAGTTAAATAATTTAATGATAATTTTTTTTTCTAGTAGAAATAAAGGGTTTTAAATTTGATTTATATGAAATGCGAATATGGTAAGTTAAAGTATAGGAGAAAATTGCATCGCAATTTATAATTCAAGATTAAAAAAAAGGATTAATACAAATAAATACAAAAATTGTACTCAAAATTTTAATTTGTGAAAAAGGTCAAAAAAAAAAAAAAAGGCAGCCACCTGTTACACGATCACCCTCTTTCCTTCTCCCCTGTTTATGCATTTATAGTTGAATATTAATTATCAACCATCAATTACATTAAAATAGTTAATTTAAAAATTCATTCTCAATTACTTAAATAATTCAGTGATAATTTTTTTTCGCTGAAAATAAAATATCATAAGTTTAAATCATATGGTATCCAAGTGTGGTGAGAGAAGAAATGAAAAAAAATTATTTTTCATTGTATAACTAATATATATATATAAACTCATTTCATCTCCATATGTATCTTACATTTTCTCTCTCCCAAATCTTTCTTCTTTTTCTTTTTTATCTCCCTTGCAAAGCTGGAATCCCATTTTTAGAGTTAAATTTTCGTCAAATATTTCACCCAATAATTAAGTTTTATTTTTTTTCCTTAAAAATTTAAAACAATGGTCATGGTGTTTTAAATAATTGAGATGGGGTTGAACCAATTAAAATACCACGAAGGAGGAGGAGGAGAAGAAGCAGGTGGGGTAAAAAATGGGGAAGATGAGAGAGGGAAAGAAGAGAAACGAAAGGAGATGGTGAAGGAGAGAGAAACGTAGAAAACCAGTCTGAATTAAAAAAATAAATAAATTTTGAAAAAGAAAAAATAATGATGTGGTATTGGTCCCATAAATTCGTCCAGTCCTATATATTCGTCCTATCACCTCCTATTTTCCGATGGATACCATGGAAAGCCCAAGCATCGTACATAGAATAGCATCCCATGGCACTTTGTGCACATTTTCATCGAGACAATGGTTTATTGAGAACGTATACTTGACGGCAATTCTCATAGGATGACCCAGACAAAATGACAAAATTCCAGTGGCAGGTCCCGCGTTGGAATCCTTTCAACAATGATGTGTCGTAGACTTTCACCTGTGGTAAAAGTGGGTTTTCTAGAAATAACAAATATATGATATTAAATAGGATTGGGCATTTGAAATCGAACGATAAGTTATTTAAAAATTAAATTGAAAAAATGAATTCAGTTTAGTTTTAATGATTTTTTATTTTTATTTTTTTGGTTTTGATGTTAACCAAATAAGGTTTGATTTGATTTTGGTTGAACTTTTTAAAAATTAAAAACTGAAATTAAGTCCTTTGAAAATCAAAAATAAGATAAATATAATAAAATATGATAAAATATAATTTATTATTAAAAAAATAATTGATTAATATTTATTTATCAAAAATCAAAACCAAACCAAATTTATTAGTAACCAAATTGATCGATTTTGTGAAAATTTTGGTTTGATTTTGGTTCTCAAAATTAAAAATTTTTTTTTTGATTATTTCAAAATCGATTTCAATTTTAACTGAAATCGGTTTTGCCCACCCTTAATATTAAATGAGTAAAAATTAATTAATTAATTAATTTTATTTAATTAAGAAAAAAAGATAAAAATTGCATCATATATTTTGTTATAAAATATATTATTAATAAGTCTTGTTAACAAATCATTTTCTTATATTTGTACTTAAAAAAGTAAATTCATTTTTCTCACACTTCATATTAAAAAAATAAAAACTTATCTAATTAAAAATGGTTATTCTTGACTTC